ATATTATTAAAAAAGAAAAATCAAGAGAGGTCACCTCATTCCCCACATCGTCTGCCCACAACAGAATGATAGGTACCCAACAATTCTACACATCAAAGCTAGACCACAACTTACAATTCACACATGCACGTAGTGGAAATCACAGGAGTGGTATAAACAGGTAAAATCCCTATCTTACTTCTGTCTGCCCCCCACCAAAATTACCAGCCTTTCAAAGACAGAAACATACAGAATGCTGAGAATTATTAAACACTGAGAATTATTAAAGCTGTCCAGAAAGGTATTGGTCCACCTTAGGACAGATTCTTAAATTAGAATTTATTTTAAATACAATAGCTCATGATTTTAACCTCTTAAAAGGTTGCGTTTTGTCACTGCATATGAATTTCAGCACTACTAATACAAAGCTGTGTGTTTATGCAATGAATTCTCTCCTGCCTTGTGTCAGCTCCATACACTAATGCCTGTCTGCATAGCAGTCAGGACTGCTTCCTCTGTCTCTGAACTGATTACACTGCTCTGTTCATTCTTGTTTGCAAGACTTCATCTCACTCCCTAGCTTCCTCTTTTTATTTATATTATAGTATCAAAGTTTTTGAGACAACGCAGTAGGAAATACACTGCATTAAGAGAAGTCATAGCAAATTCATAGCAAAGTCAGATATACCCCTTGTTTAGGCCATGTACATACAGAAATGTGCAATGTCTTGGGTACATTTCTGTATTTTTAGAGCTATTATGGAATTGAGGATTATATGGTAAAGCACACAGTGACAAATAAAGAAACAAATCCAGGGTTAAGGATTCATGCTGACTAGCTGTGAAACCTCTTGGGAGCTATTTTCAGTGATTAAGACATCACAGATATTCACATGGCAAGAATCAGAAAGCAGTAATATTAGCTAGCCAGTTTTTTTATCTCTTTTGACAGGACTTCCTCCTGATCATGTTTTATTCATTACCCAAGACTAAATTTCCAGCCAGTACAGAGCTATTGGAAAACTGGAACTCTTGCCTTGCCTCACTACATCCCATGAAAAAGCATGACTGACAAGCTGAACTCTGCTGAAAAAGTGAGGTATTTACACCTGGAAAATGTACATGTGTACACAATCTGTTCTACAGTACTGCAGGCATAAACCATTGATCAAGCTGCCTCTGTATGATATTTGAAATCAATGAGAACTACACATTGTCTCACTCAAAAACAATTTTGTTAGTGAAATATCTCTTTTCCGCATGTGGATTTCCAGCCAAAGAAAACCCAAGCTACCTCAAAGAGAATTGTGACAAATTACCCAAGCATTTAAAACATAAGGAGAGTCAAGAACTTTGCCAGCAGATGAACTGGAAGAAAGGGGGGAAACACCCAGAAGCTGCAGATTAGGGCAGAATAGGGTATTAAACTTATTAAACTTTTTTTCAGGTTCATTCCTGCACTGTTTTTTGTGACACATATATATTGGACAGTTTGCATAACATTTCAAAAAAGAAGTGTTTCTAGACTTAGATGACTTATTTCTATATTACATTTACGAAAAGCATAGTCAGACAGAAGTGTACATTCAAGTCCCTTTGAGGCCATGAGACACATGGGAATATTCTTAGTGCACCATCTTATTGCTTACTCTAGAGAAACAAAGACTTAGTTTTTATTACAGCAGATTTGAAAATCAGAATCAAAACCAAATGCATTTAAGTTCTCAATGTGATGCAAATGTTTCCTTTCCAAATTCTACTGAGGTACCAGCAGTACTGAAAGAAACATGTTCCTCACAAGAATCAAGAAAATATTAATCTCAGGGAATAAACAAGTCTCATATCTCTAAGGTTTCAAGATCCTGTAGAGACTTGAAGAATTATGCACAAATCTATAACATGGTGTCTGTATATTTCTTAGCTCAGTGTTTCTCAAATGCTTATCATTTGTAAGACAGACCAAAAAAAGAGGGAAAAAATGAAGGCATGTCAGATACACCAATCTCAAAAAAATTCATGATAAAGTGTTCAAGGTCCAGCTCTCCTGCTGTGATGCTGTGTGTAATATATGACCATCATGTCTGGCAAGATTTGCACAGGTCTGCCCTTGATTTGTGTTAGGAAAAAACAGAAAACCTCACAACTATTCTTCATTCCCAAGAATTAATCTGGCTTCCTGATGTTTCCAATTTTACAGTGATCCAAAAACCCCCCCAAAACCACACCTGAAGCATCACTCACAATTACAGGTGATAGCTGCGGGAGACAAAAGTGAATTCCCTCCGCAGGCAGCCCAGAGCCCTTCCAGCACAGCAGTGGCCCTGGAGTGCTGTGAGATGGGGCCACCAGAGACTCAAACTTGCCCTGCAAGCACCAACACTGGCACATGAACCAGCTCTGAGAGGCTTTTACCTGAAATGACTGGGCAGTGTCCCAGTGCACATGGTGCCACAAGGCTCAGGAGCTATCTCCTACCATTGAAGCTTCCAAGAAGCTACAAGCCTTCTGAACCTCCCTGGGTGAGCTGTGCAGAAAGAACTTGATCACCTCACTTTGCCCTGGGCAGCCCCTGGATGGTCCATGGACAACCCTACTCACATTCTTATTTCATCTTTTCCACTAGTTCTGCAAAAGGGATCAAGACTTGGCTGCAGTAAATGTAATTTGACCAGTCTGACTGCTCTTCAATTCTCAGCTGAGCTTATCACAGCCAGCCAACAGCCAGCTTATCACAGCTAGCCAACAAATACAGTCATTACATCAGGCCAGAGAATTTTAGGATACACTTTTCCCCTAACAGCTCAATACATCATTCACAAATGTAACAAATACACTGCAGACACAAGCACTGTGTGTTATAAATGCATATAAATACAGAGTGTTTCCACTAAAAGCAGCAGAAGTTATTATGAGCAGTAAGAAGAGGTGGTCAGGTCCCTATGGTTTACTAAGATGTTAAAAAAACATTTATTGAAACACAAGCTAATACTGTTTTTAATTACCAGATGCATAGTACTCCTAGAATTTTTTTCTAAGTATATCATGTATGTCACAGCATTTGTCTCCCCAAAAATGCTGCTTCGTTTAAATCCTTAGATCACTGCTGCTACTTTTTACAAACTCCATGAAGGAAGAAAGGTTTTCTTAAAAAAATTGTGAAAAAAAAAAATTCTTTCTATACCAAGGCTAATTGACTGGAGCTTTAGAATTTGTTTGGCTTTTCAACAAGTCAATCACCTGCTTATCAGATTTATATAACAAGACTTGATGCTCTCACCTAGCATTTGTAATTACCTTACACATATAAAACAAATAAACTGTACCAGTGAAAAACTTTAAACAAAAATACTTTCCTATCAGCAGAATAAATGTACATCAGTCATGTCACCTGCACTGTGACATGACTATTCAATGTCAGGGTATTTATTTGCAAGATTCACTATGGTGTTTTTGTAGAGCAAAAAAACCTCGCAAAATCTTGCAATCCCAGGGCAACTCAAGCTTCCACACACTCTTCAGTGTTAAGAAATGCTTGAGAAGAAATAAGCCAAGGAAATTAGAAGTCTTTGACAGAGGAAATACAACAACCATTTGTAGCAGCAAACTGATAAGAGCAGCTGATTGCCTGTATGGCAGAGAAGTCAGGATCATCCCTACCACAAATCAGACAACCAAGGCTCCCTTTCTCCTGTGGCTCCTGCAGCTACTGTGAATGTAATATATTACCTAATATATACATTACTGAAAGTAATATGTTGAAGGACATATTTTTAAAATATTGGCATTTTAAGGCACAATAACAAGCAATATCTGTTCTTGGTTAACTGGTTTTAACAAACTGTTCTTATAGTGTATTGATGCTTTACAGGAAGTGAATGGAACAGAATTATGCACCAGACAGGTATTTTATTTCTAAATTCAAGCCATTCAGCCACACCACCTTCATTTGATAGACCCAACCTCATGTCAAGTAGAAACCTCCAAGTACAGCAGTTACATCAAGGATCCTGAGAATGGTTTCTACTCTCCAGTCATCACCCTGCAGTAATATTTCCAAAATAATACTGAAAAATAAGCTCAATTTATTCTCTTTACTGAACCACTATAATTACAAGTAGCTGCTCAACCCTGACATTTTATTTTGATATACCATATTGGCAGACCAAATCCTTCACAAGTTTTTATTGCTCTATCCTGTGCACTGGAATGCATGGTGATGCAATCAGTATGTAATGACCAAGGCTGTAAAGTAAACGTAGCACTGCACAGATGCATAAATAATGTATCATTTCCTGAACCTGATTCTGACATAAAGCTTCACCAACACAAGCCTAGAGAGAGATGTGGTGTTAATTTTTCCATTTTGCATATAGGAACACATGAGAAATACAACCATGTGAAGTATGAGAGGGTCAAATTCCATCCACTGGAAATTTTCCAGAAACACATTATATTAACCAGATCAAGGCAAAATTGATATTTTGCACTGTAAATTGCCTATAAACACTGGGCATGGAGACATTGATGTTGTCAACAGAAATCAGCACTTCTCTTCGTGGTTTTTCACACTCTGATCTCAGAGAATACTTTTTAAGTCAAGCATCAAATTTGTGGCCTTGAATACAAGTTCCCTGGTATGTAATGTATCACTTAAATAGATCAGTTTAAGACCATTCATTTCTCAACCACCAAAATCAGTAACTTTCAAACTGTAGAAATTCTCCATGAATAAGGCTCAAAGTCTATCTGGAATGTAGAAAAGATCTATCTACTTGAACCTTTTCTTTCGAACTGTCAGAAAAAACAGTTGCTGATGCAACTGGGCAGAGGTCTTCAAATTCTATTGGTTCCATCTTTACCCTAAATAGTAAATATTTCATGGATACAACTGAGGTGAGCAGTGCATCCTCTGGCAGAAAAGGAAGGAACTATCAGCTCTTTGTGTGAACAGATTCATTACACATTCTGGAACTGAAGTGTATTTTCTTAGGTAGCTTTAAAAAAATGAAAAATAAACTCACTTGTAAATGCTGAGAGTTGTCAGTCATGTTGTCCTCTCGCCTACGAACTTCTTCCAACAACTGTGCATTCTTCTTTTTCTCCAATTGCTGATTGTGCTTCAGATTGGCAACCTTCTTGTTCTGGTCCTTCATGTGTCTAAGAATTGCACACACACACCCATTAGTGTTAATGACTGCAACCACTTATTCTGCAATAGACTTTAATTTTGTGACTACAACACAGGACATCGATTCTCCAACAGACACAAGTTTTTCAACCATCAGTTGTAACAATAAACCTTCATTTTGTTTGCAAGATGGCATAGCAAAACAGCTTTCAATTACAGAGTGGTAGAGAAATTATTTGGGCTTACAAGATTTCCCCTTTTTATGATTTCCTCACAAAAACACATACATATTCTGAGCTCTGTGCAGAAAAATTGTTGAAAGACACACACTGCATTCAGGAACAATTTTAATAGGTGCTTCAAGTATTAATTTCAAAGGAAGCAGAAGGTGACAGTGATGACTAATGTATATTGTGAAATTATATTTTTTAAAACCTGGACTACAAATGCAGTGTTTAGGTGGGTTAAAGTGTGATGGAGTAGGTCAGGTCATAATATACCATGAAGAATAAATGATGCCTTTTCAAATAGCTTTGTACATGACAAAAACATTTCTATCATTTTTTATAATGGGAGTTCTTTCTAAAAAAGATAATCAACAAACCAATTTATGAGCCATTCCTAAGGAAATGAAACAATCTTTGCCACCCTTACGTGTTTTCTTTTGTTAAGACTGTATTAATAAAAAATAATTAATTGTTTCAATTTTAATTATCTTTTCTTGTGGATGTTATTCATTAAGTTACCAGAAGCATTTCTGAGACTAAGCATACACCTTTTTAAGAAAGAAGGCAAACTAATTTTGTCTGTCAGGTGATGAAAACATATCCTTGCAGTAATACTTCCTACCTGCTTGAATTCTTAGATATTATTTTCCAGACTTTCTTTGACATGGAGGAATTTGCTCTCTTTTATCTATAAAAAAATAAAAGTCACGTGCAAATTCCTAATGAGATCTACTCACTAATCCTTTTGTGGCAAATGAAGAGAATATTATTCAATGCCCAAAAGGATCACTGAAAATCCCTCATTCGCTTCCACATCAGAAGCAGTAAAAAAAGTTTTAGAATACATTTCTTGCACATATTTTATTATGCTAAAGAAACTGGGTCATTCAATATTTACTTGTATCACTGGTTTCTTTGTACTACCAGTGTTTTTTTCATTATTTATTAATGATCAAAAATTAATAATTAATTTGCAATCAATAAATGTGCCATGGTATTAAAAATTCCTAAAAGACACTTCATGTAAAAGTTTGTAAGTATAGCACATTAGAGAAAATCCAATCAATTATAACTAAAAAAAATGTTGTAAACTTGCCCAGGAAAAAAAAGCATGGACAATTAGTTCACATAAGTAATTTGCTTGCAGCTCCAAGTTAAAATCAGCTCCCTGTCATGAGTCTGCCTCATAATTGTAAGTTCAGACTTATTCAGCATAAAACCCAAATTAATATTGGGAAAAAACCACTTCCACAACTTCATATATAAATGTATTTGGCAGAAATTTTGGTGGTGCAATATGGCTTTGTGCTGTTAAAACATAAATTGGTTTTCAATCTCATGTTGAGTAAATGATAAATTGATTTACATTTAATCTCTTTAAGAATTTCTATTTTATGCCAACACTAGCTACTTCTTTCATCACCCATGCCTGACACAACTTCCCATTTCAGCTTCTCTAATACCACACTGAAAAGTAGAACATGGCAAAGCTGCAAAGGAAAAACATCTGGTGCCTGTGATAGGCAAAATCTTGAAGAGAAGGAATTAAGAGAAAGCTCTGTCATAGACTCTCTTTATGCCACAACTGGCTACATACCTATGGAAATGAACAGAAAATGCTACAGTTAAAAAGCCCAGCTGAGGATTTTTCTTTAGGCCTGTATTAAAAATACCGGGGGAGTACAATGCAGAAAGTACAAAAACATATATCAAATACAATCCTTGGTCCAGTAGAATTTTTGAGTTGCTTGCTCAAAATTGTTTTCATGTGGCTCTACTGTTTCTAAAATGCTTTTGAATAAAATAGAAGTTTAGGATAAGTAAAAAATATGCATGAGAAATAGAAGAATATTTGGGAACTGTACAAAATCACCATAAAATATATGCCTTGACCACTGAGGACATGTAACAAAATATTCACATAGCTTACTAGCAACAATGCTGATATGACAGTTATGTCTACATTACTCTTTATCATGTGGAATTCATTTCATTTTTTCCACTACACTGCTTGAATTTAAAGCTCTAAGACCACAAAACTCATTAGACAGAATAAAATAAATAAAAGACTACTGTTTAAGACACATCTTTGAAATCTGAAGTGTACATTTTAGGGGTCTGCTCAGTAGAATTCCTCTTACCATCACAAGTTAATAATTTCCTGCTTATGTAGCATTTTCTGATAGTGTAATTGCCTCAGAGAAGGAAGATGAAACACAACTCTCTCATTGTCCACATTCTTACAGCTCATTTTGAAGTCAGGCATCTATTCTCTTTTAGGGTTAAATTTATTATTATTATTTATCTATTCTCTTTTAGGTTAATTCTTTAACCTCTGAGCCAGACATTACAGTCATCCCAAGCTAGTTAAAACCCACCACTCTGCTGCATGTGTGATTTTACAAACTTCACAGAACTGGAAAGCCAGGCTACAAACCAGTTCTGAAGCACTCAAGCCCACAGTACACTGAAATAATGCCAATACTATACTTGGCTTAAAGAAATTATGTTCTGAGTTCATAAACATTTAAGAAACAAAGCAGACTAAAAAAAAAAAGCAGAGATGACTAACTCTCTGCACAGATGCTTAATCTTAACCAAACATTAAGAAGTGGGATTAATGACAGTTTTTCAGATAATAAAGTTACATTCGTTTGTATTTCTATGGCTAATGCCAGTTAGCAACTGTTAGCAGCTTAGAAACAAAAAAAATTCAGAGTGAAACTAAACTGTCTTGAAAACAGAGCTAGAATATAAACATAGCTTGAATAGTGTAAAATAAATTTTAAGAAAATTAAAGGTAAATTAGTTCTGTTCTGGAATTACAAATTAAAGGATGATATCTCCTTGGCATCTCTTGACTCTTTTGATAATTCAGTATCAGAGGTATGAGGATATGCAGTATCCAGCAAACACCCCATGCCATATAAATACAAGATATCAATAATATAGGCAGATAATAAAGAAGAGATGAACATCAGGAAACAGAAAAATTTCTATAATCTTATTCTTTTAGTACACTAGACATTCACTCCTAAAGAAGAGAAAAAGATAATAAAAAGTAACATAACTTCTATAATATAAAACAACATAACTTCTAGAGCTACCTTACTACTCATTAAGTTCTCTGATATTTTTATACCTAGATTAAGCCATTGCTCTTAACTGAATATGCTACTCCATAAAAATCAGCCTCTTCCTGCATCTTTCTGACTTGGGATAATTTTTTATAATCTTTCTCAATACACAGAATGCTCCACAGTAATCAATTTGCACCTCAGCTGGGCACTAGACTTAAAATCAGGTATCTAAATGACAGCAATGCCAAAACCCTGTTTTTCTCAGCATCCAACAATTTTTTGAGGAAAGTGGCCTCAGAATGCCAGCACTGGAGTCAACAGACTGCATTAGCTCTGACTTCTGTGCTGCTGAAGAACCATCCTCTATGACTGCTAAATATTTAGATACTTAGTGTATCACAGATCCAAGCACAACAGGAAAAGACAAAACATCCTCAAAGAGCCCTTTAGCTTTATCTTTCCAAAGGACTTAGAGCCCATCAATCTTCCTGAGCAAACAGCAAGATGCCCTTACCTCAAATAAACTTTTCATTCTAGTTAATCTTTGAACTGCAATGTCTTTGTAGCAAACAGACCTCAGTGCCATGGAGGAGCAGCAGAAATGTAACCAGCAAAACAGTGGCACCACTTAGTTTCTGCTGGTATGAATGGGACTCTAATGACTGCACTTTAACCATGTTTGGGGCTTCTTCTTGTTCTGGAGTAGCACAAATTGATCTCTCAGTCTAACTACAGGACATTTATTTCTTCAAATTGGTTCAAATTTTTAAGACAAATATTAAATACTAAGTTTCTGCATATACGTGAGTAGCATTCAGATTTTATTTTACAGTATTTTACAGTAGTGTGTGTTGTCTAACCTCCAATGCTTTTATCACTGATAGATATAGAAAATCACACTATTTCATTAAATTCCCTGCTTTAATTAGCCACCTGGGTACCTTGGCCACAAAGCTGGTAATGTCAGCCAAAAATAAGTGTTACATGTTAGTATAGCCTTTACTCTATTTCATAAAAGTTTTTTCCCCCAAAGCATCCAAAAAATGCAGACATGCAAAATACTCCCAAGAGCAAAATCTGTAACATTTTCTAAAGGAATATGTCTCTGCAATAATTTTAATCACTTTAAACAGCATTGCAATGAGACCAGCTGTCTGCAAGTCAGTCAAAAAATTCTGCAGTGTGTTAGGAAATTGTGCTCCTCAGCAAATAAAAGATAAAAAACTAGAGTGCAAAGAATGTTTTCAGGGAAACAATCAAAAAAAAATCAACTCATCAACTCCAAACCAAACCAACCAGATCTATTTTATGAAATACGATTTAGTCAAAACAATTAATCAATTAATCTACATAAAATAAGAAAATGTCAAAATGTGGTTTAAAATTCAATGTAGTACCCTTAAATAAACAAACATCGCCCAATGTTCTAGGCAAGCACTGGGCAGAATATTACCATCATCATTACTTGAAATTTTTATCTCTTTCTCCTTTATAAACAGTCCACACTTTTACAAAGAATTCATGTATGTGATCAATGAAACAAATCTTAAGATTTTACTGAGCACTCTGGGTCCCAGCCTAGTCATGCAGAAGACCTGATCCTGTAAATCCCAACCATGTGAATGTCCATTCCAAATTACATTACTCCAGTAAGACTCAGTAGAAATATTCCTAGCAGTTCAGTTCTCACTGCCTAAAGAATGAGAGTCTAGACAGGTGCTT